CACGTCCCCACCCCGCCTGCCTTGGCGGCTGCCCGGGGAGAGCCCCGCAGGGATGCCCTGGCTGCGCCCTGCAGATGCGGCCTCGGTCCTCTCCTGGTGGCAAAGGCACCCGGAGCCAGGTGGGAGCAGCGCCGCAAAGCAGAGCCTGTGCAGCACCTGGCTCCAGGTCCACGGTGGGGGGAAGGGGACTGGGGACCACGGCAGAAGGCAGGGGTCAGGGACCACAGAGGAGGACAGGGGGTCAGGGACCAGGGTGAAGAGCAGGGGGTGTCACAGCCACCCAGCGAGAGGCACCACCCGACCAGATGCTGGGGCTCACACAAACTGCTTATTATAACCCTACTGCCTGGCCTGTCTGTCTGACTTTCCAGCTATCTGTCTCACTTGCTAATCAAAGAAGGTTGTTCCAAGAAAGCTGGAAGAGGAGAAGGAATGTCTCACTTGGCCGTGGCTTCCTTTGGAAAGTCTGGAAAAACTGTGGCATCTCTATGTGCGTGAAGGTCTGCCTGGCGAGAAACACATTTTCCTTCCAAAGCTGCTGTAAAGATGTGAATCATGAGCCGGCAACGCTCCTGGCAGGATGAAAACCAATTCCACTGAGACGTGGTGCTGGCAGCGGCTCTGCTGTATCTCTTGGATGGAAGAGACAAACATTTATCTTAGAGACATTGCTGAGGAAGAGCCACTGGTGCTGCCAAGATCCCAGTGTCGGCCAGATCCTGCCTGCACCCAGGTTACTCCTGCCAAGGGGAGCCGCAACCAGGTTTCCCAAAGGTCTCCCAAAGCCCGGTGGTGGCCTTGCCAATATTCAAACGTAAGCCAAGGGGTTTATGGTCCCCTTTGGTTGCCCTCCACAACCTCAACCCCTCGGCAGCATCTCTGCACTTCAGGGATGAAAACAACCCGTATCCCAGTGGCTCATTTGCGATGATGTTGATTTGATTTCTGTGTTTTTAGAGGCATCAAATGCACGTTGCAGGGAGAGATGAGGAGGGGGTGCCTGGTTTTTCTTGCTGTGAGGTCAAGGTAAGAACTTGAGGTAATGAGCCAAACTCCGCACCCCCACAGCCGAAACCACCCCGTGGCAGAGCATGTGCCTTTCGGTGGCAGCAACCACATATGGGGAACGTGGGGATTCATTGCACCTTTCACTGGAAAAGGAACTAAAACACCTGGAAGGGGCTGCTGGGAGCCCCGGTGCTCCACCCGCATCACAGTGGCGATCTCCCTGTGCCGCCATCCCCATCCAGCCTGTCCCCTGCTGTCCCCATGCACCTGGCGCTGGGGCCAAAGCCCCGCCAAACCTTCCCCCTGAAATGCCTCCTGCTGCAATTGTGAGACACCAGCGAACATGGCACGTTTACGAAGCCACTTGCTCACTTCTCAGGTGGCTCCCAAAATCTGCCCACCCCGTTGTCCACCACAGAGCTGGGGCTGCTGCCATCCCCGCTGCACCCACCTGACTGGCTCAAGCCACTGTTGACAGACCCCAGAGCAAACACAACTCCCCTTCCATGCCAGTCCCTCCTTATTCGGACCTTCAAGGCTTCTGCAGCCCAGAGG